CGTTTTGAGCTCCTGAGTCACTTAAGGGGCCTCGAACCGAACGTGTGACCCCACCAATGGATTGGTCTCCGAACGAGGAATCCATTGGTGGGTCGGTTCGAGGCCTGTTCAGCGGCTCTGGAGCTCTAAACGCGTCTAGAGTTTTGTCCGCTTCGACCGGTCTTCTGGCCCACTGTGCGACGGGCACCCAGAAAACCTGCCTTCTCGAGCCGAGAGCGATTTATTGGAGAGCGATTTGCAGCAGTCCAATTTCCTCTCGTTTTCTCTTGAATGATTTCGAGTCTCGGATCGAAAGCGCGCCCTTTCATTTTTGTTTCGTGTCGGTGTGCCTCCCAGGTTCACTCTGCTCCTGCCCCTGCAGACCCGGCTACACTACACGCACCACATACGTGTGGCATTCGTACACTAATAAAAGCGTGTCTACCGTGGGATTCCCTATGAAGATACGTTGTTCTGTCAGATGATCACCCAATACGTGCCACGTGGTCTAGCCCCTCAAATCAAGTCACCTAAACAGGCAATACTTACGACAATGCACTTCTGTCAGAAGGGTTGTCATACTCAGCCTTCCTGCTAGGCAGTACACTGTGAAAATTTGCTGTCACTTTTTGACAAATTCGTGGATGACATTTCCATCACTTTCAAATGATGACAAATTAATGACATTTTCGTTCAAGATCAATTGTTTTGATGACATTGTTGTAAGGAAAATTAGCCTTGAAATTGTCAACACTGTAAATGTCTTACGGTGAAAGGCTGCACCAACATATTATGGTGGGGATTTTCTCCATAATACCAACAAAATTCGACAAAATATCTATAAAGTACAGTCAATTCTATGTTACGAGGTCAGCTGCACCACCATAATATGGAACATTTTCACCATAATGTGGAGAATCTTCACTGTAGAAAATTTAGAGTGAAGTGACGACTCAAATTTTCACAGTGACCTGGGCTTTGCTGTCGAGAAGTTGCCTGGTAGGCAGGCCGAGTTTGGCGACACTTTCGACACTTATGCCTCTGGGAATATTTGCCTACTCATGTGGCAACTCTGTGGCTACTCACTGCAATTTTGGCAGTTTTCCCTCCCCGTTTCGACTCCGGAGCATCACGCGAATTTTTGTCTGCTCATGTGGCAGCTCTAGGACCAACGGATTCGCGTCGGGAGGCGCGTGTCCTTGTACGGGAATAAGTGTAAAAGGGGGAGGGGGAGGAGAAAGAGTCCAAGCGAGACTGCCAACTTCTTGACAGGCAAGTGTAGAGTTTACGCAACGTCCCCCTTCCCTTTTTGACAATTCGGAACTTGCCTTCTGGGAATGGCGACCTCGTGCCTTCGCTGCACAGTGGGCCAGAAGACCAGTGGAGGCGGACAGAACTCTAGACAGACGCGTTTTGAGCTCCAGAGTCGCTAAATGGGACTCGATCCGAACGTGTGACCCCGCCAATGGATCGCTCTTCGAAGGAGGAATCCATTGGTGGGGTCACACGATCGGTTCGAGTCCCATTTAGCAACTCTGGAGCTCAAAACGCTTCTAGAGTTTTGACCGCCTCCATCGGTCTTCTGGCCCACTGTGCGCTGGCAACTGGTGTTGATTAGAAAGACTGCCGACTTGCGTGACTGGCTGGACCGAGGGGGAAATCACTCCTAAAACCTGCGACCCGACTATTACGCCTATGACGCTCTATTACGCCTCAAAATATAGCGATTTAGCTGAAAACAGACAAAAAAACCGTAAAATAGATCAAATTTTGAGAATTTCAGCTATTACGCTACTATTACGCACACTATTACGCGTGCTATTACGGACAGAGTGACCCGACTATTACGCGAGTGCTTTCCCCCTCGGGCTGGACTGTCACAGCAGGCTAATTCCTTCGCATGGGTCGCTCCCCCTCGTTCTGTACGACACGATGAGTGTGTGTGTGTGTATGAGAGAGAGACCTCCGTTTCGAAATCAGTTCGCTGAAAAAGGACCCCTCCACCTCGTCCCTGAGTGGCTGGAGCTTACAGACTTGACGCCACTTTATGTCAGCCAAGTTTACGCTAATTTTTCTTTTTCTCTCCAGTGGGCCACGTTTGTTGACAAACAAGGGGGACTTGTTGACGGGCTGGACCCACCCCCTCTCCCCTACGTCCCTCAAGGGCTGTCTGCTTGACTATATAGGGTTGCCAAAGGGCGGGTTCTAATGGCGGGTGGCCACTTTAGAGTTGCCAACTGCGCGAGTCCCACTTAGTGTTCTAAAGGGTAGGAATATTCCCGGGAATTTAGGGAATTCCCGGGAACGTTCCCGGGCACAATCAAACCCCAAAAATGGGAAATTCCCGGGAATTTAAACTAGGGGTACGCGCCGTTTAGTTTGGGCGCGTAGTAGGCGAGCGATGCGTCTGAACACATTCTTATAGGAGATGGCGAAGAATATGTGGAGAATAAGGCCAATACAGTGTCTTCCGTCACGAAAAGGCCGGAATTCATGTCATTTTCGTGATTATCTTACTGAAAACTGCAGGAAACAATGGGAAACTCAACTTTGTAATTTTGGTCACAAATTGGTAAATTTTAGGAAAAGGAAAGGTCTGGGATGAAATTGGAAGTCATTTTCGTGATCAGCACACCAAAAACTGCAGGAAACTATGTAAAACTCGACTCAAAAATTTTTGGCCAAAATTGGTAAATATTTGGAAAAGTAAAGGTCTGAGATGAAATTGGAAGTCATTTTCGTGATCAGCACACCAAAAACTGCAGGAAACTATGTAAAACTCGACTCAAAAATTTTGGTCCAAAATTGGCAAATATTTGGAAAAGTAAAGGTCTGAGATGAAATTGGAAGTCATTTTCGTGATCAGCACAGCAAAAACTGCAGGAAACTATGTATAACTCGATTCAAAAATGTTGGTCCAAAATTGGCAAATATTTGGAAAAGTAAAGGTCTGAGATGAAATTGGAAGTCATTTTCGTGATCAGCACACCAAAAACTGCAGGAAACTATGTATAACTCGACTCAAAAATTTTGGTCCGAAATTGGTAAATATTTGGAAAAGTAAAGGTCTGGGATGAAATTGGAAGTCATTTTCGTGATCAGCACACCCAAAACTGCAGGAAACTATGTAGAACTCGACTTCAAAATTTTGTTCAGAAATTGGTAAATTTTGGGAAAAGTAATGGTCTGGGATGAAATTGGAAGTTATTTTCGCAATTTCTAAGTGTGTTTCCTGTTCATTGTGTCGTAACATGAACCCTAACACTGTTACTCAGTCGAGTAACATTCAACAGCCAGCATTGAATTACTTAATACCCCAGGTAAAAATGGCTTTTATAAAGTCTCACGGGAAGATTTATAAATACTTATAAAGTTATATAGGGTTTCTTGTACAATTTTATAAGGTTTTATATCGAAGTATTTATGACATTTTATATAGCTTGATGTTGATTTATAAAACACTTTATAAGGTTGCACGGGGCCTTTATAAAAATTGCTTTATACAGTCGTATATACTATGTTGTATAAAACTGTATTAACTAGTACAGGCTGCTGTACTTATTCAACGTCTCTTATAAAACTGTGTGGGACCCAAATAAAACCAAATATGACTTCAAAGTTATTGAATGTAAGGATGTTGCTATGTTAAGAGGAGTAGAAGATACTATGAACTAGGCAGGTAAATGCCTCTCAATAAAGGAAAAGTGGTACAGAATATCGAGCTCTCATGGTAAAATTTATGAATGAATTCTAACAGTGTTTCAGTCAAAAGTATTTTATTTAACTTTGGTAAGAAAATACATAGAATGTTGAATCTAATGTTACAGAACAAATCGATACAAATGAGGCCTGACATACACATAACAGCCAATTTTTCCAACTTTCACAATATTTGATGCAAGATCTGAAAATTTTTTAGCAATAAAACGGTTGGACACAATAACAGGAATAAATTGTTCAATACATTTCAAAGTTCTAGCATGGTAAAACACTTTAGTGTGATCAACGTCAAACAGTCGAATGACAACAAAATTCTCAGTACCGCATTTGGCAAAGTATTTGATTGAACCATATTCTTGCTTTCCTTGGTGATTCCACATGACATTATAATTTACAGAATTCACAACTTTGTAAATTTCAGATGTAAAATCATCATAGCCCAACTTAGCCCTCGCATAAAATATGGAATTAGCATTAGGCAGAACAGCTAGCTCTTCTGGTGACAGCAATGTACCACTCACAACATCTCCAAGAAATTCTCCTTCTGAGAAAGAACTATCATAAGGAACATTAAGGCCATGAAGCCCTCTCACAATATTTTGTAACATTATGACGCCCTGACAGGTTTTGATGTTGTTGACAATCTCTGCATCAACATTCACTGTGCCATGTGTGGTATTAGAAACCGTTCCATTAAGGTCTTCAGAGGAGAATGCACTAAAACAGAACAATGGGCCATATAATTCTACACAGGCAGCGAGGTGACATAATTGATGAACATTATGGGTTAGTTGCCGATCCCCATACAGGGACATAAATTGAATAACAAATAGTTGCAACAGAGAGTCTGCGTCCTTCCGTTCAGCTTGCATAGTTGAGGATTTGAGAAATGTGTAAATAGATTTGACGAGCAACATGAAATGTTGTAGATAGGGGTCTGGAAGGTGACCTTGAAGAGCTGGCACAGCCTCAAACAACAAAAAATAATAATAATCAGACGCTTTCCAACTTTTAAAATTTTTAAGTTGCCTCACTGATCTATGAACAAAACTGGGGTGCTTGAAAGTTGCTAAGAAAGCATCAATTTCAGAAATTCTATGTTTTATACTCCAGGGACCTGGTTTTGAACACCAAATAACTACTAATTGTCTGACTACTCCAATTAAAACTGAGTGGAGGTATTCAGGCACGATACACTTTGATATATCTACTGAAGGTATAATGCTTAAAACAGAAGGACCTTTTACCCCCTTAACGGATTTCTTGTTTTCCAACACTGCTGTTTCAGCTTGATGTAACATTCATTCTTTAGTACGCAAAGGAGGATTAGGTACATAATGATAAACTCTTACTGCTTTGCGGCCTGGAACATGTACACTTCTCTGTAACTTAATTTCACAAATATTGCAACCATATTTACTGTTGAAGGCCTTAATATTTTGAACCATGGCTCGAGCTGGAGCATCCAAAATAGTGACTGGTAACCGGACACAACTCTTATGTACTTCTCCCGTGGTGGGGTGAGTCCACTCAACACCATTTAGATCAAGATGTTGTAAAGATTCCGCAAACGGTTTAAGAAACACTCTCATGTCTGGTTTTACTGAATGATACCACACACCTACTACAGTTAGAAAAGACCTTTGCAAATTAATGGGCAACTCGACAATTGAAATCATTGCTAGCCATAATTCACTTTTGCCTCCCTTTCTGACTCTAAGACCATCAGCACTAAGAGAAAGATTCACATCATACCTCGCTCTATTTTTATTTAAAGATTGATACACACTACCATCTTTTAAATCGGTCAGTAGCTTAGGATCTCTATTACTTCTTTTTCTTGCTTCATTATCCATAAGATCTGCCAAATTCCTATGTTCAAAAAAAAATATTAAAAGTGCAGCAACATCAAAAATGTAAAAATGACCAAAATTGGTTGACACTTTGCAGATGGCACATTCACCAACATTACTTTCACCATGATAATGAAAACAGCTTTTACAATAAAAATGTTTAACAGCTGGTACTGGAGGTGCTAAGCTCTGAACAAATGTAAGAATCTGATAAGAGGAAGTTGGTAAATTATGGTTTGTAGGGAGAAACTTGCAGGTAGTTTCAATGAGCCGCTGCAAACCATTCTTAGAAAGCTTGTTTTTTAAGTACAAATTCATAATGTCAAGAATACCCTCAAGAACAGAGAGATGACAGAGAGGAGAAGGATACAATTGGAGCTCAGAAAAAAGAATAGCTTTAGAAAGTGCATTGTCTGCTGAACGGATGTTTTCTGTAGATTCATCCAATTCACCTATTTCTAACACATTATTTGACTCAGAATATTGAGACAAATCATGCTGTTCTTCTTCAGCTTCTGATCCACTGTCACTGCTCTGTTTTTCTGAATCAGAGTGTGTCTCTTCATGATCACTGTTATTGTCACTTGAACTTTCATTATCATTGTCACTTGAACTTGCATTCATGTTTAAGTTGGATGGAGAAAGAAATAATGCTTCAATGTTGGTGGGGATGACACGAGAGCAAGTTGCTGTGGATGTGGGGTATTCTTTAAGAGGAGTGCTCGAATAGCTAGGGTCCTCCACAGATGTATCCAATTGATCTAGAAGTCAAAAGAGAAAAGTATTTAAAATATCTTGTCTCAATTTTACTTGAGAAACAATATTGAGAATATACAAACTTACCAGTAGCCAATAGTGTTTGGTCATGGGCAGATGAGTTCAAGCCTTTCTGAATATTTTCCTCTGAAATAAGAGAAGTGTCCTGAAAAAAAAAAAAAATTGACTTCAACAACAACATAATAACAAGTGCAACAAGTGTCTACTCTCCTTTGTTGTTCTTTTATGCATATTTTTTAACTTAAGCAAAAACAAAGACAGATAGGTACTTAATTTTTGACAGAACAAGCTAAGGAGCATCAGGTGCTACCACAAGGAACTCAGATTCATCACATCTCATTTTCACTTACTTGTAAGAAACAATTTATTTGTTTCCTGGTAAAAGTGCGCCTCAAAATACAAGTGAGCAAAATATATACATTTCCAGTTTCCTATGTACTTTGAGGTGATCCTTTTTAATAAATACCAAGATCTGTGTCTGCTCTGTTAGGTTATTTGAGCAGAATAAAAATAGGAGAAACAAAGAAAGTGTAGTAGATACCTAAAAGTTTTAACAGCTTGAAACAGGCTGCATCTTACTGACCCCTTCAAACAAGCTAAATTTGTGGTCAAGTACCAAGAAATCAATATTTTTGGATTACTTATTTTGAGGTGCACTTCTACCAGGAAACAAATTAACTGTCTCTAAAAAAAGTTAGTTAAAATGAAATGAGATATAAGATAATTGTGGTAGCACTTATAAACAAAGTAATAATCAGAGTGTTTCATACCTTGGTCTCATCCTCTAAAGGTGGTAGGGAATTCAAAACCAGATCCTGCAAAAGATGAACTGTTAGACAAAGTTTATGTACACTCTGTTCCACAAAGTTTAGAAGCAAAATGATAACTTACACTTTGCGAGTAATCAAAAGCACCTTGTTCAAAAGGATCAGAGTTTACAGACAGGTTGCATGACTTGTCGCAGAATTTTTCATTCGCATCATTGTTACTCAGTTGACTACCCTGAAGACTTTTTTCATCCTCAAAATCTATCACCTGATAACAAGAAAACAATGTTGATTAAAAAAGAAACAACATGCTAAAAAATAAAACAAATATTCCTTTTAATACCTTTGATTCATTGTATGCAATAAAACTTGTGTTGATTAACGAGTCTTCTCCCAAATTATCAGGTATTCTTTCGACTGGATCCGAGTCATCATTGCCAAGCAGTTCAAAGTCCTTGATACGACAACATACAACTTTATTAGAAAATGCATTTAGAAGGATGCATCACAAAATCAAAATGGATCAATTTCTTACCTCATTTAGCTGATCTTCAACAAACAGATTTACTTCAGCATTGTCTCTGAATGGCAATAACAGTTCTTCCTCTGTTTGGCTACAATTTTCCTCGGAGTCAGAACTAACTTCTTCGACGTTTGCTCCTTCCTCATGTTCTGAACTGCTTGGCAAAAGCGATGCCACATGACCTTCCAAATCAAACTCTAACATGTCATCTTCATGGCCACTTTCTTCTTGAGAAGTGTTCGAAGGAGTCGATACCTGCAGACAAAGCAAAGTTTTATTATCTAACCAAAGAGTGAGGAATCGCTGGAACATCACTGAAAGAACTTGACTTTTAAAACATCATGACAAAAGGTGAACCCAATAGAATAACAAATAAATCAGCTAGCACTTAAATCAGAAACTCAGCAATCCTGACTTTCTTGAATAGCCACAAAAACAAGGAACTAGTTTTAGTAGTGCACAGTAGGCCACAGTTCTAACTAACCTCAGATAATCGGCGTCTTTTCCTCGGAGTGTGTGTTGATGATTCAGCAGAGGACGACATTCTGCCAGCAACAATAAACGGCCGGATGGCTTGGAATTACATCAGTACTTGACTTCTAATTAGCAAGTGTTGACATTTACTCTAACCTGTACGTACATAGCCTAGCAACAATAAAAACAATATAAGTCCAACTTTGTCTAGAAAAATGCACCTCTATTTAATAAAAGGTTGGTTCTCTCCAACGAATACTCACGTGTCAAGTGTTCAAGAACATTTTACTAACAAAGGTTTAGAGAAAGGACTCGAACAAAAGTAACACAAACACAAACAGGTTGTTGTCGTCTGGCAGGCCTCTGCCTTCTGGAACCTGTTACAGTTGACGTCACATGCATCTTCGACGCCTTGAGAGGGAATGCCAATTTTTCTAAAAGGCCACTGCAGAATAATAACTATCTTTTCGAATCAAAAAATATTTTTTAAATTTTAAATTGTATTTTCGTTGATATTCCTTTCCTAATAGTGGAACGTAATCTCGGAATTGCATTGATCAGTTTTGTCTATCAGTTGGCAGCCATGGGTCGTTGATTGACTACACCGCAGATAACAGTTGACTGCAGTTGTTTGAATTGAGAAGCCGTGTAGCGTTGTTAACGTTAGCTCGTTGCATTTCTTCAGATTCCTTTAATACTTAATGTTTTGATCATGTGGCTTGTAATCGATGGAGACGACCGGTCGTATTCCCGGGTGCATGAAAAAAACGTTTTACAGGCGGGTTCAGGCATTGCCGTTAACCAAAAAGTGAAGTTCTTTTACCGCGGGGAGGAGCACCACGGAACCGTCTTGATGATAAATGGTAAGCTATTTCGTTTCATCTCTGTTTATCACTCTCGATAATGTTCTCCCCCCAAAACAAAAACAAAATATATTAACTGTGATTCCTATGTAGAGACTGTGAAAGATTAAGGTTAGGTTCTGTTCTTGCACTCCAGCCGTTTGGCTGGCCTGCCAGAACATCTCCCCACGATCTATTGGCAAATCATGATCAGAAATGTTTCTCTTCCTCTGTACATTTGTTTTAAGTCTGCTTGGACCGTGAGGAGCAAGCATTATTTCATAATATTATTTTTCATCGTTACAGCTGATTTCAACAAATGTGACGAAGAAATAAATAGACTTTGCAAGCTTCCAAGGAACAGGCCTCCACCCAAGAATTTGGTCAGTGATATTCCAATTCTAAACAAGAGGAGAAGTCTGCAATCTAAGCCAGTGGACCCAGAAATTACTCAACCTAAGCCAGCAGTCCCAGTAAAGACTAAATCTAAGAAGAAGAAGAAGGAAAAGACTGAAGGCCCTGAAATGACTGAGGTTTGTTACAAGCATCTTATAATGTTTTGTCAGATACGTCTCTTGGTGTATTGATTATCTTGCTTTGTGTTTTAGGCAGAGAAGACAAGGCTTAGAATTCTGGCCCGCAACAAAGCTGAGGCACAACGTCAGGCAAATGCAGCTCTGCTTTCAAAGACCATTAGGAATCGTGATGAAAGTGATGATGAGTGGTTGCCCGATGAAGATGGGTCTGTTGATTCGGTTGTGAACTTTGCTTCTCATAAATCTAAGGTGAGATTACCTTATCATTAATTCTTAATTGAAAGGTTTGACTTTATAACCTCTTTTCTTACTGCTGTGCATGGTGTTCCAGCTGGCCGATAATGAAAACGATTTGTTGAAATCTCTGGGGCAACGAACTAGCAGAGATTCGAGTCCAGCTGGCTTTCGCCCTGATACGCCTGATGCAACTAATAGTAATAGCCCTTCCAAAGATGAGCTTCAGAAACAAATAGCACTCCTTAAGAAACAATTAGAGGCAAAGAAAGGTAAGAGTCATAGTCTTCTCCCTTCATTTTTATTTGAAGTGTAGACTGCACGAGAAACTTGTTTATCCTTCCGCCTCAATAGCCCACATTATGGTTATGACCCTTCATGCTAACTTTATTCCCTTCATTTTTATTTTGTTTCTGTGATCAGATAATGCAGACAAAGATAATGATGGCAAGGATAAGATGGAAACAAAGGAGAACAAGAAAGTGGATAAAGAATCCATTGAGAATGTCAAAGAGAGGAAGAGAGCTGAGTCAGGGAAAAAAGTTAACACAGAGAATCCCCAAGAGAAAGATAATGGGGGGGAAGATGGCAACGAGGATCTAGGTATTTAGAATGATTTATGACATCAGCAATTAGGCTTATGTTTCACATAGAAAGTAATATTCTTTAATATTTCATTTACTTTAATTTCAGATGAATCTGAGGACAAGAATTCTAGCTTCAGTAGGAGGAGTGATGCCGATGATATGAATGTGGACGAGGTACTTGAAGAGCAAAATGATGATTTAGATGCTGATAAGCTCAGAGATGAGGAGCTGAAGGATCAGTTATATGGAGACTTGCATGTATGTAAATTAGCGTCAAACCATTTCATTGAATTTCCATAAGTACATCAATGTTATTATAATTTTCCTTTTTTTTCAGGGGGAAACAAAGGAATTGGGTAGAAATATATTTTGCAAGAAAGATGTGTTGACTTCTGCATTAACCAATGCTACAAATGTGAACACACTTGCTAGGAGATTACTTTCAGGAGTATTTATTCCTTCAAAAATCATTGACTGCACCGTCACTGGGCAGGTATGGCGCCCAGGAAGCAAGGGGAAAGAAGTGAAGATACCGAAACCACTGCATCATGGTGCCCTTAAAGCAATTGTTGGTAAGTTACTCAAGTTTTTAGTTCAACCCCTTCCCTCTTTTTTATTTTAATTGAGGCTTAATTTACATATCCTTTCATTATTAATTTCAGACTTTTCTAATGGAGTGGCGAAGAGAAAGAAGTGGAAGACGAAAAAATTCGCAGCCCTGAAAAGTGTGTTCGCGGGAAGACTGATAGAAATTAAAAACCAAGTGAAAGCAGGAAAACTGTTTGATTAGAAATACACTTCATGCCTGTACTATTTATTGCTAGTATTATTATTTTTTTGCTAAGATGGCAATGCCACAATGTTGTTTTTTTATTTTGGACTTGATTTATTTTAAAATAAAAAAAAATCTTTTCAATTTGGCTTTATTTGCTTTGAGCACTATGTGCCATCCCATGGGAAAGACCCAGTTGGGGGGGGGGGGGGGGGAAAGGGGGGCTATCCAGCATTTCCATAGACCTTTTTACCATATTAAAGCTTTATAAACTTTTATCAAAACATATGTATGTGGCTTTATAAACCTTTATCAAGCCATATGTATGTGGCTTTATGAATTATAATGCATAAACCTTTATAAAACGAACCATATAAATATTTATAAAGGCACCTTTATAAAGTCATATGCTTATATAAGTTTATAAAGTTGTATAAGGGCCTTTAAAAAAATAAAAGCCATTTTTACCTGGGACGATTCACAAATGCTTCAATTACCATTCGATATCTCCTTGTTATTGAACTTATGAATACACAATGTTATAAGTAATACCTAAAAAGCCTTTTTATCCCCCTTTTATTTTAAACTAGTGGATGAAACTTCATTGATTTATCTCAATTCATTAAAAAAGACACATTTACAGGCAGGCTGATTGCAACTACTTTACGGAGAAGACCTTCTGTCAGACCCTGAATCGTTCCATTGAATTCAATGTCGAGCCCACTTATTGCTAAACGCAATTTAAATCTTATTCATAATGATAGTCATGATGTGATATTTAATCTTTAAAACAGTATAGCATAAGTATTTACCTAACATTCTGAAAAAATTTAAAAAAGACAGCCAACTCAAACCAGACTGACACAAATTACCAGTTGTCGCAGACAATGTATGATGAAGTTAAAAGAATCGTCTCATGAAATCATATGACCAAGTCACTGAATCGTTCATTAAATCAGATGTCAATGTCAAACCAGTATGCGCTACTCTCACTCACCATATAGTTATCTTTAAGGTTAGTAATAGTAAACTTACAGCATTGCAATGAACCCTTTTTCCCCAGAGTCAGTGCCAAGAGTCAGCAAAGACTATTTATTTTGGCAAGATTAGGTCTGGTTTGTATTTTAGATTGCTTTGACTATTTTCTAAGTTATTGAGCAAAGCAAACAACTAAAAAGTAAAATGTCTGAGAATAAAAATGGAAATACACTCTCAAAACTTAAAAGCCCAAATCATTCTTGAAATTTTAAAAACCGATCAAAACCTCCACTGACAAAAACATTTCCCCTGTGGCGGGGAGGGGAGGGGGCGGCGGACGAAACGCGAAATAATTGTCACTTTCTTTTTCCGTATTTCACTGTGTTGACACTCCGGAGGGGTTTCAATCATTCTAGAATATCGAAAAACTAAGCCCGAACTCACTTCTAACCCCTTCTCTCTCTATTTTTTTTTATTTGCCAAGTTTTGCCAGTCCCGTATTTGAGAGCCGCGGCCGCAAGTATGAAAAATTGTATATTTTTCCCCAACCAAACCCACGCTAAGAACCTAATTCAAAAAGATGTTTGAATATTTCAAACGGTAGTAATCGTAAATATAAAATAAATCCCCTGTGGACCTTTAGGGGGGTTCGGTGCAAAATTTTGGGAACTATTAGTGTTGTAGTTGCTGAGAAACGTGAGGTGTACGCTACAGACAGACAGACAGACAGACAGACGCACGACCAGTCACTTTTCGGAGCGCCCAAACACGGCAAGGGCTCGCTATCGCTCGCCAAAAATGGCTAAAAACAGCTGGTTTTTTGCAGGGAAAAAAGTAGAACACGCAGGTACAAGTAAAAATTATGAAACACATGAGTGTATTTCCATTTTTCTTTCAGAAGGGAAAAAAACAAAACGTTTTGTAATCAAAAATTAGTTTTATCAAAAAAATTTGTATTAAAAAATTTTAAATTTTATCAAAAGTGATGGGTTTCATATGAAGAATGTTCCCGGCCAAGGGGATATTCCCGGGAATTCCCCGGGGAAATCTCGGGGAAAATTTCCCCCGAAAGATTGTTTCCCCGGGAATTTTCGAACCTAGTCCCACTACTGTCGCGCGCTCCGCAGGGGAGAGCTGCCTGCGGGGCATAATCAATTTTGTGTAAATCCTCGTGTGCCGTGACGGAAATCATTAGGCAGTGTCCCTGTTGTTCGTCCGCGGCAAGTTTGTCGGGAAGTGTCATCTGTGCGTTGGCTGTGGTGCATCATCATCATCATCCACCGATGGCCAATTTGACGAAATGTGTCAGCGGACTGAAATGAATGAAATGGGCACTACCCATTCTAGAGAGACCAAATGAGCGGACACTGCTGTCGGCGGCTTTCGGCATGTGTTGCGAGCCGAAGCATTTATCGGCTGCCGAAGATACCCGAACTCGTCACCGAACGCTCGTTGAAACCTCTGTTTCCGGATCGACACCCGCTTTTTTCGGAAGCAGTCCAATAGAGACCCCCGCCTCACCCCTCGCCCAGCAGCTGTCACAAACCATCCCGACAGGTGCTGCCCTCTGATAGTCAAAGGTTCAATCTAGCGGCTGTCGTTCGGCTCCGAGTGACCCGTCGGCCGCTCTTCGGGCCGCTTCGGCGTCCGAGCCTGGCGAGCTTTGCCGTGTCCGCCCGCCCGGCTCGGCACGAAACGGAGCCGAACGAGCCGAAGCTCGCACCTTCGTTTGTTTCCGGACAAACGGACAGCCAAGTCCGCTCGTTTGGTCTCTCTAACCCATTCTGCGCGGGCGGAATGCACTGCGTTCTCTGCGGAATTCAGCGAAACGATGACATCTGCTGTTGTGCCTGCAACGAGCTGACGGAGCCGTGCCCCCTCCCTTACCACCACACTCTTTTGCCTTTGGTCAGGTCCAGGCACACCGGCCCACCCAGCCATTCACAAAGGTCCTCCTCGGCTGTAGGTGGGTGTGCAGACAGGCCTTTGTCGGATCACTTCCTTTACCCCGCATATTGCCTCCCCTTTTTCCCCCCCCCCCTTTTTCCCCCCCCCCCCCCCTTTTCCCCCCTTTCCCCTCCCCCCTTCCCCCCCCTTTTCCCCCCTCCCCTCCCCCCCCCCTACACCTCCCCTCCTCCTCCCTCTCCCCTCCCCCTCCCCTTCCCCCTCCACAGGGGATGAAGTGTCCGCAGCAGTTTATCATTTGGTGAGCCGCAGGGCCCGGTGGGCAAGGAGGGCTTAGCAGCAGCGGGGCGCACGGCCCATTTACCTTATGGTGTGCGTCTCGTCGCCACCACTGTAAAAAACATAAAATGGATGAAAATATCGAAATTGCTTTCGGAGGCATCTTCCTAGGCAGTTTCTAAAGGCTTCGCGATTTAAAATATTCTTTTTAACTGTACCTAACGGAGACTCATTCAAAACAAAAACGCACGAGGTTCTGGATTTTTCCCCCCGAAGATCGCACTCTAAATGTTCTACAGTGAAGATTCTCCATATTTTGGTGAAAATGTTCCATATTATGGCGGTGCAGCTGACACCATAACATGCCAATGAGAATTCACTGTACCTTAGAGATCTTTTGACGAATTTCGTTGGTATTACCGAGAAAATCTCCATAATATGTTGGTGCATCCTTTCACCGTAAGACATTTACAGTGCGTGCTTAAAAATGTTTCTTTTTGTACCGAACCTAACGGAGACTCATTCAAACTAAAACCGCACGAGGTTTAGTATTTTTTTTTTTTTTCCAAAGACCGGAAGCAACTTTTTTTTTCCCCACGATTTCTTTGGCAATTTCCAATATTTTTGTAGCGAGTGCGCAGCCGGCCCCGCCACCAGGCGTTCTAAGCACAAAAACGGCAAGGCCTACCAGCGAAACGATGTCGGGCCGAAGTACCAGAAGGGCGCGTTGTTTACCTTTGGTCTTGTCTAGTTCTTTCCAACCCCCCGTGGATGAATGTTTTTGACTTAGCAATGTCATGTTTTTCTCGCCGCTTTTTTTCCTTTTTTTTTTTTGCGCGCCTGTCCGCTACCCGAGTGCCCGTTGGCGCTCGTTTTGCATGCTTCATTTTTTGTTACTGGTTTTATTTTTATTGCCCGAGCGACGCGCGCCCCTGGAGGGGGGAAAATTGAATCTCTACCGCCGCCATCTTAATATCCGATGACTTCCGATCCGTTCAGTTTTTTTTGCGAATATCTTCCGGTCGGTTTCAGGTTGATCACAAGGGCATCCAGAATTAACATATATCGGGATATTGGATGCCCTGCCCATACGGCTCAATAGATAAAAATAGTTACGCCAGGATAACTTGAATTAAAAATAGCATTTAACTTGTGGCTGTGTATACAAAGTGAAATGATAAAATAAAACAAAATTGAAATATTTTCATAGATTTTGAAAAATTTTGTACGCCCTGAGGTAGGTCACACCGCCGCCTGCACCGCGCCGTTGTGTTTTGCGGAAACAAATCCTGTGTCATGCCCGGAGGGGAGGGGAGGGGGTTGGAGGGGGAGGGTGGGTTTTGCCGCAAATCCCCAGCCTCGGTGGCGGCACGGCGGCCACTGAACGAGGTCTTTGATGCATCGGCCGCCCCGCGCGGCTCCCGATGACGCAGCAGACTGAAAAATCGCCGACGAGAAAAACGAGAAGGCAAAATGCGTGAAATTACGGGCCGCGTGAGATATGGTTCGGAAGCACGCAGCCACACACGCGAAGGTGGGGCAGGTAGGTGATTAGGTGAGGTCGTCGGGGACTCCACACCGCAAAAACGGTTCCTGGAACTCCCTGGCAAACACCCGTGTCTTAAATGTGGGCTAGCTCCTACTGAGAAATGACGTGCAGTCATAGTACTGAGCTGATTCACAGTGCTTTACGACACAAATCTATCATAATGCAGAGAAATTTGTTCGTAATATGACGAAACTTGTCATACACTTACTGAGAACTCCCCACCATAGGTAACTCTCGCTGCGCAGTCATAGGATATTGGGAGTGTCCATTCTGATGACCTTACAAACTTTTCAAGCCTTACGAAGTAAAGTACCTTAACAAAAAAGTATTTTGAGCATGCGAAAGATTCCAAATAAAATAGTTCGTAATTTACTTTTACTATTTCTTCGT